CCCCAAAACCCCAAAACCCCAAAACCCCATATGGTAGAATAAGAATTTAATAAGTCAGTTAAGAGTTTAAAATTAAAATTAAAGGAGGAATTCACTTTATCATCAAACTGAATGCCTATATATTGATTTTTCATATACATCTCATAGTTATTAGAATTATTTAACTTCGTCAAGGTATTTTATGATAACTTCAGGGTAAAACTAAAAATTTGCTATAAATTCTATAATTTATTACTCTCTAATATTTGAAAGGTTTGCCTGGTATTTTAGTAAAAAAGTCACAATGCCCCCCGATTTTAGTTGATACTATTACACAGTTTGGATTATTCATAAGGTCTGAATAAGGAACTGACTCCATTGGACAAATAGGATCATCCCTAGAGTGAAGTACAAGGAATGGAATGTTTATATTGTTAAGGAACCGATCACTATAAATTGATTTATTGTAAATTAGGTTACCAAGAGACTTCCCTATAGAGACCATGAATTGAATTATAGCCAAGAATTTTAGCTCTGACGTGGTTATCGAATTCATATATAGATTTGTATCCCTTAGCTTTTGTCAGCCACAAATGATCAAAACGTTCTCTATCTAGTTTAAATTTACCCCTATATAAAGTATTTCATGTTAAATATTATTTACTGTGTAAATCCTAGAGCAAGCATATCTCTTATAGCCCTATCATAGATTCCAAAGAACTTAAATCTCATTCTTATTGTTGTGGCTAGGACATCGAAGGGATTTGAAACTGAGATCGCAGCTTTCATTCCATGATCGTGATGATGATCCCCTAAATATCTCAATAGATGATTAGCTCCAAGAGAGAATCCAACTCCATATATTTCAACATCTTGACCATATTTATTATGAATTCTTTCAATGCTCTCTCTCATTATTTTGCTATCACTCATATCAAGTACTCTAAGCTCTAAATCATCATCTTTTGTAGCAGTGTGATTCAACACGACAGGGTTATAACCATTTTATAGTGCTACTCCGCAGACTTCCTTAATGTATGGTTCCTCTGAACAGCCAGTAACTCCTGGGACAATGAACAGTACTTTTCTCTTTTATCCCTCTTAAAAATTAAAAACACCTCCCTTCTCTTCGCAATGATCTATAATAATAGTTAAACTAAAGGTATTGCTGATACCTATCGAGAAGCGACCTCTTTATTCGCAATTGATAAACTCACGCTTAAACAATAAATCACTACTTCTACTCCTCAAGAGAAGTCCCATAATTAGAGAAAATTATGGAACCTTACATATTGCAGGAGGTTTGTACATCTAGATTATATATTAAGCTAAAGAAAAGGCTTACAGCCATAAGTTCCTGAAGTCCTGTTTCCATTAAGTGCTTCCCAACCTTATTTTGAGGATGAAAATCAATCTCAATATCAGATTTCTCAACAATGATTTGTTCCATTGATGATTGACTTGCATTCGATGGAAGTCTAGGCATTTTTATTTTATCTGAGAAGCCATATATAATAAAGGGAGAGAACGCTCCAATAGCTTTATAGGTTAACATCTTGTTATATTTCAATAGGACTCTACTAATTAATTTTCAATTATTTTTTACTATCAATGCATCCAATCAATTGACCTACGGGGTTTTGGGGTTTTGGGGTTTTGGGG